TTAATCGTACCAAACCGAAGTTATTTTTCTATACAGAAAAATTTAGCAGATGAGACTATAAACTAAGGAGTAATGACTCGGCCTTGCAAACACTGGTTTCTGGGAAACTGGTTTTCCAGAAACTCTAAACAAATAAAATAAAAACGTCTCTTAATGATAGATGATTGTAGTCAGGAAATTTCTGATTAAAATGAGACGCCTCCCAGTTCTACACGAACTTTCTTTGCAAAGTTGTAGAATTTCCAAGAAAAGCCCTAAATGTTTATTGTTAGCTCAAAGCTACAGAAAATAAGATGAAATCAATTTAGGGCTTTTCTTGTAAATTCTATAACTTTGCAAAGAAAGGTAGTGTAGAGCTAGGAGACGTCTCATTTTAATCAGAAATTTCCTGGCTACAATCATGCCCCATTAAGAAACATTTTGGTTATTTTCTTAGAGTTTCGAGTTCTGGAAAACCAGTTTCCAGAAACCCGAATTTGAAAGACCTAGCGGGAAAAGCCAAGGTCTGATTCGGATTCAGGACCATCGATTACCTATGGTCCACTACTTTTTACGTCAAAGACGATTAGACAGTTGAGGATCATTCCTCCTAACACGACGAGTCGAATAGTGAAATGGAGTAGAGAACTGCTGAGAAGATCATGATTCATTCAAATCACAGATTTATTTTCACAATATTTCGACAGTCACATGGCTAACTCAGTTATCCAATAGAGACTATGTCTTCAATGTATTTCTCGATACATCTAATAATCTTTATTACACACGCTTGTCTGTTGTTCAGAAAATGAATTTAACAAGTGGTTTCGTCACAACCGGAGGTGACACTGGAACATGCGGATCAGGATTAAATCAGTTTAGTCCACACGGTCTTTATGTTGATCAAAATGGTAGTATGTATGTATCAGATGCAAATAATCATCATGTGTTGAAATATATTGCAGGTGCAACTCAAGGTATTATAGTTGCAAGTGGAAATGGTTTATGAATAGATAGCTCAGCTTGTCCTACGAGCTAGTTTCCCAAAGATCTCCTCGGCCATCTACTTTAAAAAATAACGTCTGTTATAAAAAGATGCCTGAAAGTATCGTCTCTTGAATGAAAAAACCCTAATGTTCTAGCTCTTTTCATTCTGGAGTTACTCAACAAACAACCACAGACCTCATACTTTGAAAAGGATAGTAAACATTTCGGCAGGAAAACTTCGTCTGAGTTTTCAAAGTTTTCTGCTAGAAATATTCATCCAAGAACACGTTAGGAAATCTTTTGAAAATTTTTCGGAAAAAAACATTTTTTCCTGTATTACTTTACTGAAAAGTCATACTAATTTTATGAGTATCCTATTATCAGCAACAGTAATACTGCGAGTGTTACTGTTGTTGGTAGAATTTTCGATCATGTACCGAGCCATTTTGAGTTTTTGATACCTCGAACTTTTAATAACATATTCGGAAAGATTAATGATTTTTACATATGCTGATTAGGTTTTGAAAGTTTCGGATATTCCTTTGGTAGGACTGTAGACCTAATCCCTAAATAAGGCGTAACATAATATCGAAAAGGAAAAAGAAGTTTTTTCGTT